TGCAGCAAGATGCTGTGACCGGGACCCAGGTGCCGCAGAGCGATCCCATCGCAATAACCTCTTCGCATCAGCCATTGCCTACAAAGTAAGACATCATCGACTCGTTTTTATTTAAATATAGGGTTTTTTTAAACTTTATAGATACACCATGGATAACGTATATTCATCAACGCAAAAAGAATCTCTATTCACAACCAGGTTGCCTAGCGGTGAGGAGCAAAGAAGCACTGCTCGAGTTTTCCATGAGGAGGCTGCTCCCCCTCCAAAGATAAAGGTAAGCAACGCAGACTAGGTAGGATAAAGCACGTTTTAGCTATTTAGGCTACACAAGAGAGTCCTCTTCGAATTCGGACCATTGAGACAGCAACTGCTGCAGAAATCGAGCAAATACGTGTACTTAAAAGGGGAGAGGAGCTGAGAGAAGTTATGGAGCAGCACAGACAAGTATGTTACTTCTGCTCAGTTCTAACTAGGAATAAGAATGATTTCATTTTTTGAAAATTTTCCTAATGAGCTTATAATCATGATTCATTTCCTAGCTAGTGATTGCTTGTGCAAATTCTCTTGACCTGCAGTTTTGAATTCTTCGAACTTTTTTGCTTTTGATTTGCTCATTTCTGAACATACCGCCTTCTCTGACTAGGTTTGCTGTTTTCAAAGTTTGATTAATTGATAGATGTGAAATCCCAGTTTTACATATGGTCTTAAAAATGCTTAAAGGAGGCTGAATATATGTTTTGCTTCTATTTCATGATGCATGTTGATCTGTGAAGACTTTACCAACCAATTTTCAAGTTCAAAATCTAGCAACTACGTGCTTTAGCAAACTGAATCAGAAAAGAATTAAATTCTTCATATCAGATCCTATCTATAAAATCCTTAGCGAAACATGCTTGCTTAGAAAAATTGCTGTTTTTCGAATCTTTCTTCTTCTGTACGGATAGCATTTTGAAGCAGAGTGAATGAGGACGGGAGCAATGAGCAAGGCTAAATTGCCGCCATATAATTACTCCGTGATTTAGGAAGTGGATCCACAATCGCGAAAGCGAAAACTGCGAAAAATGAAGAAGTCGAAAAAACTGTCGAAGAAGAGCAAATCCTCAGATGTAGATAGCGCTGAAGTGTCCTCAAAAGGGAAATCATCGGAAGAGTACAGAAAGCCTGAAGTGACAACGCCTCAAACGGTGAGTACAAATACAACTATTTCAAGTCAAGGGATTTTAGAATTTTCTGAGAGAGGAAATTCATTTTTGAATTTTCTGGAAGAGAAAATTCATATTTAATCGCAATGCTTGATCGCCACAATGACTGAATATACTTAACAACGCGAGTAGCATCCAATGGTCTCCTTTCATTAACTATTCTATTGCCCTAGCAATTCCATTTCTTTGACGTATCTCATGCCTTCATGGGAAAGTCAACAAATGATTCCTGAGTTGATGTAAGAACATTTAGATATATTTTGAGAAGCACTCAATACGATTAGGCTAAGCGATTAATTTAAAGAATGCAGTTTTCTGCGCATTTCATTATGTAGAACTATAATTTCCATAATCAGGCATAAGCTGTCCTAATCAGTTTGTGCAGCAGGATTACACGGTCACCTCATCGCTTCGATAAATCTATATCGTTTCGTACCCTTCTGATAATCGCATTACGTTGAATAACTTGAAAGAAAGCGGGCCATAACGAAGACTAAGCCGATTGATGATGATATGCTATCTTCCGGCATCCTTTTGTTTTCTTTTAATCTTCACGCCAGAGAA